TATCTCACGCTTCCTTTATATATATATAAATTGTTAATTAATATGTATAAATAATATTTGTATTGTTTTGGCGCAGGACAGAATTATTATAGATAGTAGTATAATGGTCATTTTTTTTGTTTTAGGAAAATGCCAAGCTAGCGAAAATACGCCTCCAACGCTATGGTTGGACAGAAATTGGAGAATACCGGAAACGGAACCCGTTGGATCGGTGATCGTCCGAGCACATGGGGGCGATAATGAAAACGATAACTTAGAATATGGGTTGGAGCCGTTAAATATGAACTACAACGGCGGAAAGGATATAGATCATTTGCCCTTTCGAATCGATAATAAAACCGGAGTAATTTACTTGAACGAATCCTTAAAAGGAAGAGTGAGTAAAGGCCTTATGTAAAACTTCTCTCAGTAAACAATATCAAGCTAAAGAGAAACGCGAAGAATTTTTCTAGAAGCTTTTAGAATATTAAAGCTACTTTTGAGCATGATACATTTTTGAATGAATTGTTTTTATTGAATTTTGGGGTAAACACGATTCGTAAAATATCTAAGAGGAGGCTTAAGAGGACCTTCCGCCCTATGTTCCGGCTTTGCTCTAGAGTGTTGGTCATACGTACTCCGCACCATCATGTTTTTGTTTTGGTTTATTTTAATGCATTAATTAATAGAAACAAAGGTTGCTGCGTTGTTTAATTGTCATGGGTTTAAGTACAGTTTTTGTACTATAAACCAGTATTTCATATTATATGATGATAGATGGCTTTATTTAAAACATTATGTTTCATTAACACTGGAATTCTAATTTCTTTTTTCTTCCTTCTGATTTTTTTCTCTTAAAATTTTTTGTATTTAATTCTAGCCCTTTCTCCTATATATATTCATACTTTTTATTATTTACTAATAATATAAATCGACTATATTTCAATGTAGGTAGTCATTTTCAAGTTACTATTATGAGGCAAGCAGACACAAAACGCTAGTTATTGTAAGGGTATTGTTTAACCGCCATGGAGTGAAATCAAAACAAATAGAGGAACAAACGTATTATCAGATTTGAATTGTGAATAGTATGTTCTCTACCGTATTTCCTGTCAGAGAATAACACCGCTGAAATGTATATACGTATCTTCGTGTTACTACCTTTGTTCAAAACGTTTCAGTAACCATTATCCACTGGTTTAGAATATACACAAGAATTTAGGCATTTAATTAATACTGATAATACTGAAAAACCATAAAGGATAATAATAGTTATGCCTTTTATATTGGACAGAGTGGGAGAGATAGGAGCTAGGTTATCCCATAATGAGGGAAGAGTTCGATGTAATTTTAAAAAACTTAAAGAATAATAAGGCGCCAGGTGTAGATAGGAAACAGGGGGAAATTCTAAATCATGCAAAACAAGGGGTTAGAGATCGTATGTTTAAACCAGTTAGTTACATTTACGAGACTGGCAAAGTACCAGAGGATTATAAACGGAACGTGGTAGGGAAGAATTATTAGGGGAAGATCAATTTGGGTTTAGAAAAAATAGAGGAACGCGGAAGGCCATTCTAGCTTTACGGGTAACAATAGAGAAAAAGATAGAAAAAGGAAAGAGTGCGTACATAGGCTTTGTCGATTTAGAGAAAGCGTTTGACAATGTCAAATGGGACAAGATGTTAAATGTACTTAAAAACGTAGGGATGAGTTACAAAAATAGAAGCGTGATACTTGTAGGGATAGGTATACAGGGGCAAAAGATTAGTATGCTTAGATTTGCAGATGATATAGCAGTATTAGCATTTAGCAAGGAGGAGTTAGAGATAGCTTTAAATAAAATTGATGCAGTATTGAAAAAACAGTAGTGTATGAAAATAAATAAAAATTAAACAAAAATACTGGTATGCAAAGGAAGAAAGAGTAGGAAAAGAGCGAATATAAAGATAGGGGACGAAAAAATGACCAATTTTAGGTATCTAGGAAGTCAGATAAGTCAGGACGGTAGGAGCAGTAGAGATATAAAGCAAAGGATAGTAGTCACTTCTATGTTCGAGAACGGTTAATATACAAATTCGAGACAGGTTGTTGAAGGTGTATGTTTGGAGCGCGGCGGAAAAGAGAAGCTTAGAAACGTTCGAAATTTGGTGGTACAGACGAATGATGAGGATACCATGGATAGAGAGGGTTAGAAATGAAGAGGTATTAGAAAAAATAAAAGAACAGAGGACCGTATGAAAGTCAATAACAATTTGGCGAGATAGGTTGGTAGGATAGCTTCTCAGGCATGAAGGTCTAGTCAGAGACATATTAGAGGCAGAAACGGGAGTTAGGAGGGATAGAGGTAAACCTAGAATAGATTACTGTTTGCAAATAGTTAAGGATGTGGGTTGTTTTAGTTTTAGGGAAATGGGAAGATTAGCTCAAGATAGGAAAGAGTGGAGGTGCGTGTCCAACCAGTCTTAGCACTGACGAGTTTATGATGATGGGAGAGATATTAGTAGCATAGTAAAAAGACAACAGACAGGCTCCTCAAAATATTGCGCCTTTTCTGTAAATGAAAATAACTTTGTAGTCCTTGAACTTTCCTTATGGTTTTTAAGAAGGCTTTCGTGAAAAAAGTTTTATTATTATAGTTGAGTTTTCACGTCACGTGTATTACTTTTTCAAGTTCTTTTTACACGATACATCTTATCATAAAATTGAGTGTATCACATTTTAACGGGAGCGAATAAAAATTAGGTTTGTTGCCGAACTTTTATATTTTGACAGAACTTTTACTTCCTTTTTTAATATTCGAATATACATAAACGTTCCAGTGTTTTCTATTCTACTCTGTTTAATGGCCTTCAGTAAATGCATACTTAACAATAACATAGGGGTAGTTCGTTTTTGAATATAAAAAATTTATTCTAGTTTATCGTTCTTCTCCAAAAAAAATTTATCTGTTGAGATTATAAACTTTGTGGGTTTGTTTACGCAGGTCCTTTAGGACCTTGTTGAAATATTAACGCGTCAACTATTTTATGTCAAAGTGACTCCATTTGAAACGTCTCAGCCCACTTTATGGGATCGTAAATTCGAATAATCCTACCAACAACTTCCGTGTAAAGAAAATAAAATCGAGTAAAAACTGTATTTGTGAGATAAGCGCATAAAAAAAACTGACACTTCAAGAATAAGTTTTAACAAGACAAATAGACACGTATTAACAAAATTTGACGGTAGTTTTCAACTTGTTATAGGGCGGGGAAAATATATTCCTGTACGTGACTGTTTTTGATGGGAAACTCACCGCCAAAACGGAAGTGTGGGTCAACATTTTAAAAGAAGGTGATAAAAACAACGGAGGACGTGCTTCTTCATCAAGAAACGGTCCGATGAGGCCGAACCTCTTTTCTACATTCAACAGGGGTACTCCTCCTCCAGCTATTGCCAACAATCCGCCACCACATCCCGGTTTACCTATTTTCCAAAAGAAATCAACTTTAGTTCCAAACTCTGAAATATCAAAAGTTCATCTTCAACTCATCAACTCCACAACTACACGATCAACAACTTCTGGAGATGTCGAATATAAAACAAGGGATATTGACTTGAAACAGGGTGATAGTAACCAATTGGAAGAGAAAAATTCACCCAAAGATGCTGCATCTACAGCAGACGAGTCCTTGAAGGCTGCCCAGGATGTTAGCGTCACTTTGGTACCTGTTGTCATTGTTTGTGGAATTTTTTTGGCCGTTGCGGTCCTTGCTGTCGTTTTAAGGAAGAAAATATGCTGGGGAAAAATTAAAAAAGCAGGAAATGATAAAGTAAGTTTCTGTTGAGGTTTTGAGAAGCTTTAAATCGAAATTTTTATTTTGTTAAACTTCATATGTTTCTTTCTTGAGCCACAATTAAATATTTTCTCATCTAGTTTCCGATTTAAATAGATATACATAGAGATACCGTAGCCAATTTATAATTCAATTTCGTTATATTTTTCAGGAGAAAGAATCAACCAGAGATATCGCACTTCGCGACGACCCTTCGTTAACAATGCAACATTGGAGAGGCCCGAGAGCGTTTAATAATCGATATGAACCCTGGGACGGGGAATCCCACGTTCAAGTAAGTTAACGTTACGTTATGATAAAATATAAAATCTCGACGTTTCAAATTCGTTGTTCCTTTTCCTTTCAGGCTTCTAGTCAATTATCTGTTCCGCCAAAGACAGGAGACCCCTGGGAATTCCCGAGACACAGGCTGAAAGTTTTCAATATATTGGGAGAAGGCGCGTTTGGACAAGTGTGGAAATGCGAAGCAACAGATATTGATGGTGAGTATGGGTTTTCGTTTCAGTGCTACGCATTAAAAGGAAAATATGCTTCAAAATATAGAAAGCTATCAGATATTGCTAAAACATGTTTTCGTAAATCTTAATGCAGGCGTTCGAAATATTTTGATGTTATGTAAAAATATTGACATTGACTAAAATTTATTAAATTCAAAATTCAGAAAATAGTTTATACCACAAATTATTTGACCTTTTAATACGTTATTATAAATTTCTAATATTCATAAACCCACAAATCATTTAACTACTGTGTTACAGTAATTGTAAAGGAATGTACTATACATAGGGCAAACGGGATGCTCAATTAAATAGCGTCTTCTTGAACAGAAAAAATCTATGATTCACTATTAAAAAATACAACTATATCTAACGATCCTTTCTTAAGATTTAAATAACTTCCAATTACTTCGTTCATCAAACGATGTCAAAAACCTACCAACATTACTAGAGTAAAATGTGACATTAATTTTTAGTTGCTTTTATTTTCTCTTATATTTTAGTTCACAAAGTGATAAACTTAAACACAATTATGAACATTAGTAGTTACATGTTCTTGTTTGCGTAAGTTTAAAATGCTCACTACACTGAGGATTAACAATAGAACAACTGCTGCAAATGTCTAACCAGCATTAATTGAATGAATTAATTGTTGGCATTTATTCAGTAAGTTGAACAATTAAAACTTAGTAGTATTACATTAGAGATCTCTTATTCTGCTTTCTATATCTTAAACTTCCTCTTAATTAGAATAGGTCTTCATTCGGTTTCTAAACTTTCCAAATCGTGTAGCTTTTATTACTGAAATTACAAAAGTACTTTAAATTGTTCTGATATTGCAGTTTAAAACATTTTCAAATTTCAATTCTGTTATTATATCGTCGTCCCATGAAAAATCCTATCGTTAATTTTGGACGCGAGAACAGTTACGTATAACATACTCGTGAGTAGGTAGTATCTACCAAATAAAAAGTAGAACTGCAAAAAATTCAGTAGGTATCATCATCTTAAGGTCGTCAGTCCTAAGACTGGTTGGACACTCACCTTCACTCTTTCCTAACCTGAGCTAATTTTCACATTTCTCTAAAACTAGAACAACCCACATCCTTAACTATTTGCGAACAGTACTCCCGTGTCACCAATATATATTTGACTAGACCTTCATGCCTGAGAAGTTGTCCTACTAACCTATCTCGCCTATTTCTTCTCGACTTCCATAGAGTTCTCTGTTCTCTTACTCTTTCTACTACCTCTCCATTTCTAACCTTCCCTATCCACGGTATCCTCATCATTCACCTATAACACCACATTTCGATCGCTTCTAACCTTTTCTTTCCTGCCGCGCCCACTGCCCATGTTTCGCACCCGTACAGCGCCGCGCTCCAAACATTTCGCTTTAACAACCTTTTTCGATTTTCTAAATTAACCTTTCGCAAACATAGAAGTGACTTCTTTTTATTGAAGGCGACACGACCCTGCGCTATCCTCTGCTTTATATCACTACTACTCCTTCCGTCCTGACTTATCTGACTTCCTGGATACCTAAAATCAGGCACTTCTTCTAATTTTTCGTCTCCTATCTTCATATTCGCTCTTTCCCTAATTTTTCTTCCCTTGCATAATAGTATTTCTGTTTTATTTTCATTTATTTTCATACAGTAATCTTTTGTCAGTACCACTTGACCTCCTTGCTAGATGCTTCTAGTATCATCTGCAAATCTAAGCATACAAATCTTTTGTCCCTATATCTATCCCTACAGTTGTATTATCTTTAATGATGTTGATCGCGTCTTCGATGTACAGATAATAACCGAGTCAACGTATTCCAAATGTACAATATGTATATTATATCTGATGATTCGTACTTAACAATAACCTGTTGTTTAATAATCTTCTATTTTTTTAATTGTTACCTTCGTTTACTTAAACGCACGGAAAATGTAGTTTTGTTCTTGTTGTAACAGCTTTTATATAACGTCTAATTATCTGCTGTGCTTTTGTATTGTAACAAAGTCCAGGAAATATAAATTTAGGCAATAAATTAGAGATAGAGAAAGAGCTTTCATTCATCTTTGTAGCTTTATTCTTAAATCGTTTTATCCCACGATGTGTCAAATATCACTCTGTGTTCTAGTCTTAAACTAATTAATCTTTGTTTAAAATTAGTAGAACTGTTTACTGCCACTAACAACTACTGTTTAAATGTCACTAATTGAAACTAAGTAATCAGTGAACAGTAATTGAGAAGCTTTTTTCAAAGATATTGGAAAAAGTTCAATCTATTTAAACGGTTACGAGTCGATTTTAATTATTTGATTTTTTAAACGGAGACTTTCACGGCACAGAGAAAGACGTAAAATACATTACACGATTACACAACTGAGAACCACCCTCTTTAAATAAAATATGCTTTTACAAAACGTTAAAATAATAATAACATATTTTTAGACTACTATTTTAAGGTAGAAAGATTTTTGGCAGAATATTTACTGCAAACATACAGCCATGCTGAGATTTTCCATTTAAAAGACAAAAGCTAATGGAGTACTAATTGACAGCAAATTGAGAAATACCTTTCTTCTTTGCAGGCAAAGAAGGAGTTTCCATTGTAGCTGTAAAGACTTTGAAGGAAAATGCGTCAGAAAAGGAACGTTCTGATTTAATATCCGAATTAAATGTAATGAAAACTTTGGAAGCTCATCCAAACGTTGTCAGGTACTTCGCCTTTCCTTTTTGATTCTAATTTAATTTAAATCAGTAAATGCATGGGACAATTTCTTCTATAGGTACATACATAAATTCTAATGAATTCCATGAATATCGGCAGTCTAATTTCAGAGATATCTGCAAAATTTTTTCGTCAAACAAATTAAAGTCAGTCAGCGGCTAGATTTGCATTGAAAATTCATGTGAAACAAATCCAAAATGTTCACGTCAATTGTTCGAAATACAGTTTGAATATTAAACACCTTTCGTGATGCACAAAATAAAAGAATACAAAATTTTTTGTATTTGGTGAATGAAACTGGAATATTTTACCACAATTTGAGTTTTGACATTAAATTAAAGTTATTGTTCCTTGGGGGGATACTCAATAAAATAATTCTTCCTTTGAATGTGTAAAAACAAGGCGATGTCTCGCAAATTTACTTCACGAANATGGCTTTATTTAAAACATTATGTTTCATTAACACTGGAATTCTAATTTCTTTTTTCTTCCTTCTGATTTTTTTCTCTTAAAATTTTTTGTATTTGGTGAATGAAACTGGAATATTTTACCACAATTTGAGTTTTGACATTAAATTAAAGTTATTGTTCCTTGGGGGGATACTCAATAAAATAATTCTTCCTTTGAATGTGTAAAAACAAGGCGATGTCTCGCAAATTTACTTCACGAATTAAACGAATAAAAATATACATCTCGTCATTAGGTTACTTGGTTGTTGTACGGAGAAAGATCCAATTTTTGTTATTATGGAATTTGTGAGTAAAGGAAAATTGCAAAGCTACTTGAGAAATTCGCGAGCCGAAAGGTACTACAACAACATGCATGGTCAAAGCAAAACATTAACCTCCAGGGACTTGACTTCCTTTGTCTATCAGGTGGCTAAGGGAATGGAATTCTTATCAGCAAATGGGGTAAGTTATTTATTTCATCAATTTTCCTCGAGGTGCGATTTGAGATAGAATATGTATTAAATTTTCTACGATACGTAACTTTTACTACCATAAAGGGTGTTTTTTGTTGTGAGGAAATAAATATATGATGAAAGAATACTTTCTGAAAAATATAATTACAAAAGTGTATGCGTCTCTATGTGTTTTAAAAGCGTCAGTCTCTTCCTTTCAAATATTCCCAAAGTACATTAGAAAACTACTTTTAACTCACCACTCCAAACTATTGTACTTTTAGGTGATGTTCCTACCTTAATCTTTTCCACTGCATTCGTTTCTTTCTCCACCCTTTCTCACTTACTTTAGTTAGACGCTCTGAAATGAAATAGTTTCATTCAGAACTTTCCAGTCAACTTTAAGTATTACAAGAAGGGTTTAAATTTAGTTTCACAGATTATAAAGGAGTAAAGTTTATCACAAAAGGGTTCACCGTCTTCAAATAATTGTACAGGTCGGTAACGGTCTCGTACAGGGTGTCATATTAATTGCAATTCAAGATTAAATATCTATAATATGGGAAATACCATCATACGCCACATGTAGAGTGAATTCTACAACAAGGAAATGCTTTGGTCAGTAGATCCAGGATAAGCTTGCTTATTATACACAATATAGGTATTTAGGCGCTTTTATAAATTGTGACATAATTGGGTACTCAAAGTTTCTAAATAAATATTTCCCTTTTACTTCTACCTTCGGATTAAATTCTTCCAAAAGCAACTTCTTACCGGACTCAATAAATTACTTGCAGCATCCTAACAAACTGTGGGTCCTCGCCTGTAGTTGAGCTTCTCAGAACAACTTTAAAAATTACGTTAGGTCCCGAAGTTTTAATTGATCAGGAAAATACTCCATCTTAAACAATTAATTAGCTTTAANTAACCATGAAACGTGACTAACAAAGGATACAAAGTTTTACAACAGACGGTACTTCACAAATAAATAATATAGAATCGAATAGCTGTTTAAACATCATAAACAAAAATGCCTTTCTTACGCCGGTAATGGAATTCAAAATTTCTATGCATGAGATGCAACAAAGGGTGTTCCGAAACGAATGTAATAGGGTATATTTGAACAGGGTAAAACGTTGATCGAACATAGAAATTTAAATATCTTTGTACGAGTGAAAATACATAATTTGGTGAATGAGTAGATTTTCTTTTAGTCCCATCAAATTTCACCCTTTTCTCTGGAAACTGTTGTAAACTCATTAAAATCTATACTGTTGTATACTTATCGTATTTTTTTAAAGATGATGCCTTTAACCATTAGATTGCAAAACTGAAAAGGAATGTTTGCCTTTTGTTTTTGTAAAAAATCGAATGACCTATATAAAGGGTAAAATATAGCAGGATGTTTTTCAATTTTGCAGATAATTCACAGGGATTTGGCCGCAAGGAACGTCCTTATCACAGACGATCACATCTGTAAGGTTGCAGACTTCGGATTTGCTAGAGATGTCACGTCAACCTACGTTTACGAACGAAAAAGCGAAGGTACGCGAAAATATTATAAAATTTTGAATGAAAACATAAAAAATATGTAAATATAGGAAGTAGAAAAGTAGTCACAGCTTTGATTTGATCTGTGGAACTAAAATCTGTTTAATGATGTGATAATTTAATGTGCCAGTTCCATTATTGTTTGGATTGCTTTGTAGTACATCTTTTGTCGATGACGTAGTAATAATCGTCCAATGCTTTTACACTAGGCACATTTTTATTACCTTCATATAAAATAATTTAACGATTTAGCATTTCGAATCCCCTTGGAATTTTAAAAAGGGATTAATAAACGGAAGACAGAAATTTTTCGTATTGTGTTTACGGCGGGTTTAACGAGGATGCTAATTCTGAGGATTAGTAATTAAAAAAAGGTTTCCTTTAACATCTTGTCGTGACTCACTGTTGGTACAAGTCATTTATTTCATTTCCTAGAGCAAAACATCTTGCAATTAAACTGCAATTTGTTAGGATTCCAGGGAAAGACTAATTTCTTCAGCTGGATTGTTCCATATTTAAAATTTAAATTCGCACCACAAAAGAAATGAAAGACACGGATCTTTATTTTATTTTAATTTTAATAGTAACAGTCTTCACTATTACAAAAGACAGCAAATTAGTCTAGTACGAAAATACACCAAGTCTGATCAGTTTTCCTGAAAATTAAGGGAGAAGGTGCATGAAAAACAAATAGAATGGGCCATTTTGGTTCCATGATTTTTCATCTCCCGACATAATATCACCGGACAAAATATTCCCGACAAAATACCCCGGACAAAATATCCCCGTGACAATATATCTTAAGACTAAATATCCCTAGACAAAATATCCCTCCCACCCTAAAAATCGCTATAAGAAATTTTTTCCAACATTTTATTCAACCTAACCCTATCAAACTTGCGCCATACTACCTTGCCGTACGTTCCCTTCCTTACCAACCACACCTCACATGATCAAACATAATACAATCCAACCCAAGTCAATCCAGCGCAACCTAACCCTAACCTAACCTAACCCAGTCAAACTTGCGCCATACCATTCCTTACAGTAGCCTAACGCGACCCAAAAAACGTTCCCCGTCCCTCATCGGCATATCCCCGGCGGATTTAGCCGATCGTTCATTTTTTTTTTATTATTATTAAATAAANATGAATTTTATATTATTTATTGGAGTATCGCTTCGATAATTTATTATTGGGGCTTTTGTTCGGTGATATTTTGTCTAGGGATATTTTGTCACGGGGATATTTTGTCACGGGGATATTTTGTCCAAGGATATTTTGTCACGGGGATATTTTGTCCAGGGATATTTTGTCACGGGGACATTTTGTCGGGGGATCAAAACGCCTGATACGGCCATTTTGGACTACCCAGTGATAAACATAAACATGGGGGCAATGATCTTACCGAAAGTCTAAAAAGCTCCGACAATGACGACCAGGATAACCTAACGCAATTGTGCAATGCGGCGTCGCTACTTGTTATCGTGGAATTTCGTACGCGAGCATGGGCAGGGAAGGAATGCACTGTCGACTATTTCGTACAATTCGTAAAAACAACATGGGTGTAATGCATACTGATCAGACATAGTACATAAAATTATTTATTTAAACATTGTTTTCGACTACGTATTTAAATAAGTGAGTGCTACTGTTACTGTTAGGGGTGCAAATTCTCCCCAATCAGCGAGAACTAACAAGCAAATACACCGGTGTTGATTCCGCGTCCGAATCAACCCGAATTTTTGTTAGATGTGCTCTCGATGGTCCAAAAGAAGCATAAATTCAAAATAAAAGAAATTTATAGAGTTTTCCTAAAAAATTATTACCAGTTGCCAGATATAAATATTTCATTGTTCCTTTTCAGGACGATTACCAATACGTTGGATGGCCCCAGAGTCCCTGTACGATAATATATTTTCTGTGAAGTCTGACGTGTGGAGCTTCGGTGTTCTTATATGGGAAGTCGTAACTCTGGGCAGTACGCCGTATCCTGGCCTTTCAGCAGCCGAGGTTATGAAAAGGGTACGTGCACGTTGCAATAATTCTTTTCCGTCAAACTTACAAGTTGTTTAGGCGCGATAAAAACTTTCAAAGTATTACCGCAATGCAGGTGTAGCAACCAAAATGTTGTGCATTAAATTAAAACACTAACAACTACACCAACTATAAAGAGAATACAAAATGGGATTTGTAGCAAATGTCTGCATGTGGCGACTAATATGCAGTCTGCAGTTATTTAGTAGCCTGACTGTTTAGATTAAGTTAGGTTGTGTATTTTGCCGGAACTGTACATGGCGTGCTGATGGGATCAAATAACTTCGAAATCGCGATTTAATTCTAATAGTTCCGATAAAATATTTCCCCAAGATCTTATAAGCCTTTTCCTAGCTAATTTACAATCAATATTAAATTTTGAAAGCCAAAATAAGAGATACGAATATGATTAAAATTGACGTAGATACGTGCAGACAATTGCAGGCACCATTACAATAAACAAAACTAGTTGTTATAATGTCAATGATGAATCTAGGAAAACGAAATAATAAAATACTGTTGTTTGTTAAACGTGAAAATTCATTTTATTAGAACAAACAGCCATTAATCGCTCTTGATTGAAATTTCCCTCGAAATATTCCGTTTATTTACCTAATTCACATTTTTTAAACTAAATTCAATTAAAACAATGAAATTAATGTATCATCACCGTTTGAATGTTCTTTTACTACTTGAATGAAATTCATTTTGAAGTAAATAAATTAAATGCATACTGTCTATTGGTTTTTGTTGTCGGGTTTCCTGACTGTTGTTTTTGGAAGAAGTAATTTCAAATAGGATTAACTCCTCAGTTAAGTATAACGTTTACTTATCATTACATAGTATAAAACAAAGTCGCTTTCCCGCTGTCTGTCCCTATGTATGCTTAAATCTTTAAAACTACGCAACGGATTTTGATGCGGTTTTTTTTTAAAGATAGATTGATTCAAGAGGAAGGTTTATATGTATAATACATGCATAATATAGTAGGGAAACACTGATAATTTTAGAGGTTTCTAATGTGATGTCGTAAATAAACACATTTTTTGCGCTTACATTGCAAACGCTGGCTGAACCCTACGAGATAG